TAACACAAACACAAAGGCATGAGGTTTGTTGTGCTTGTCAGCAGGCCTCAGTCAAGTCAAAGAGGATCACAGCAGTAAGTCAAGGGCAGCCTCCAATACCAGTCTAAGGGCTTGGAGGCATTTAGTCTGCTGCTCAGGGGAAGGTACAGATTCTCCATAAAAAGGATGAGGAACTGAATGTAGGCAGCCTACCATCCATCTTGATTCTTTCTGCTTTTCTGTGGGCTTTTTTTTTTCTCCTGAAATGACAGCGAGGCGGGTATTAGGGAGATGAATGTGGGTGGTACAGCTGTTATTTTTGGTGCACCCTATTGAGTGATTTGGCAGCACAGAAGGCATGCACAGTTAGTGGCATTGGGTATTGGGGTGGGTGAGAGTAAGTGAGGGAAGATGTTGCAGGCAATAGTGGGAGGGATAGATCATGAGCCTTGGTTTGAGATGGGAACAGCAGCAGAGATAGAGCAAGTGAGGTTTCAGAGAGAAGATGGATGCACCTATGTAGGTAGTCATTGACCTTCTTCCTACAGAACTGCAGATGGCTGAGAGTGCTTTAACATGGGTAACAACCATGGGCCAAATTGGCACCGTCTGGTGTCATAGCCTTCACTGCTGGTCCTGAAAGAAAAGAAAGCCCAGTATATGTACTGCACTGTCCAGCTGGACCTCCAGGTCACATCCTGCAAAGATGGGGTGGCAATTTCCCCATCTTCCATGCCCATGGTAAATCTCAGGGACCATCGAAGGCATCTGTGGGTTGATGGTGCTTGTTGCGATACAGAACGAGCTTTTGAAGATGGTGCCGGCACAAGGGATGCCGGCAATTCTGGGACATCCTGCTGAGTGGCAATTTGTTCTGGGAACAGCGTGTGGCAAGATGGAGCCAGAATCGGACACGAGGGACTCCATTGGGATGGGTAGGTAGTTAATGAGATATGCTTGGGAGGATACCACAAAAAAATTTGCTTGGCCTCATGTTGGAATTGTCCCCAGCATATTCAACACACTTGGATGTAGCCAAAAGAAAACCCTCTGTTATTCTGAAGGGAGAGCTAGTCATTGTAAGAATGTAAGGCTCCACAATTAATACGGATATCATAAACAGGAGATCATTGGTCTTATGTTATACAAGAATAAGAATTTTCATGTGCTTATCATTCTGTCAGCTACTGGATTTTAGGCTTGTGTATATTGTGAAATATTGTCACCTGAGAAAAGGTCATCAGGACATTTGCAGCTGGTTGCACTTGTAATGTGTAATAAAGTGCATAAAATTAAGTTTAACTCAAAATTTTGGATTTCAAAGTGAAAACAACTCAGTTCCTAATAATTTTGATTCTCATTTGGAAGATGTGACTGCAATTCCATCAGGATTAATGCCAGGAATGTTATATGAATATTAAATAAAATCCACAAGTTCTTGAAATCTATTATAAAATCAGAGATGGTGGAAATATGTAGATCAGTTGGCAAACAAAGAGAGATACAAGTTATGAGATTTTGGCATCACTTTGTGACAGGTTCAGACAGGAGAAGCACTTGATGTGGAGATTTTGCACAATTTCCTCCTAGACATCAACGTAATCTAAGTGGAATTGAACTCAAAGTATGTGTACTGTACCCACTGGAGTACCTGATCTTATATGTTCACTAAAAAGTCCATTCATCCCCCAAAGAAGTCTCCACACAGAGAAATCCTTCCCAAGTCAGAGTGGCAAGTTTCTGCTGATTTCACATAATCTAGCGTTATTCATTGATACTTAGATTGGTGAGCAGTTAACTACATGCTGATCACGTTCTGTTTCTTATACTGCTGCTACAAACACTTTAAATGACTTGCAATTCAGTTTAAGTTGTTACAAATTGAGTAAATTCCACCAGAGTAGAAGACGCCTATATGGATTCAATTGATTGCTTGTCAGAGTCTTACCCCTATCAGGGGAAAATCAAAACAGTCAATTGAAACCAAGTAAAAAATAAGGCCAAGAACATTAAATCGTTCAGTTGAAGAATGATTCTGCTAATGTCTTGTTCCATGATTAATTAAGCTGCTTGATTGCAGTGCTCCATGTGAGATTTTACGTTAGAGTTAAATGCTTTGCAGAGAAACAAGAATGTGATCTCATTTTCTCAAAACGAGCATCCAGGAAATTCTGGGAGCACTTTGTTGATTTTGTGCCAAATGGAACCTGCACAGATTTTGGTCCATTAATACTATGCTGGCTGCCAAAGCTATTTAGACCATTCCAGAATAATGCTGGAGGGCTCATGTTCAGTGCAATCATAATAATGTTTGCTGTTTCCTGTGTAAGCCTCATTAAGTCCTTTTTTATTATTCACAAGCACAGTGTTTAGGGTCAATAGTACAAAGTTGTGAGTAGAAATGTTAGATCCACTCAGCAATATTTACGGAGAAACAAAGTTAAAATTTCAATCAGTGACCTTTCTTTAGAACTGGGACTTATGAATATAACATTATTTGCAGTGTAAAGCTAGAGAACGAAGAGGTAAGAGGCAAAATATCAAAGAAAGAACAAAGAGGAAGATCTGTAATCAGATAGATGACAGGACAAAACTTAAATAAAACAGAGCACAACAGTTCAAAGCAAAAGGATACAGTAAAACAACAATTTAGAAACAAAAGATTGGCCCCGAGGAAGCATAAATGGTTACAGCAGCAAAATGGGATGCTGGGAGTTGGTTAGCTCAGTTGGCTGGATGGCTGGTTTGCAATGCAGAGTGACACCAAGAGCACAGATTCAATTCGCAAACTGGCTGAAGTCACAATGAGGGTCTTGTCCTGTTGACCTTATCCCTTGCCTGAAGCGGTTTGACTCTCAGGGTACATCACCACCAGACATTTCTCACTGAGAGAGAAGCTATATGGTCCTTTGGGACTATTACAATACCATGAACCATAGATTGTTACCATGCAGAAAGAGGCCATTTAGCCTATCATGTCTACATTAACTCTCTGAGCTTTTGTCTTAGTGCTAACCTCTTGCCTTTTCTCTGTTACCTTGTATGTTACTTCTTTTTAAATAATCATTTAATGCCCTCTTGAATGCCTCAATTAAACCAGCCTTGACCATATTTCCAAGTAGTGCCTTCCAGATCCTAACGACTCTCACTATGTGAAAAAGTATTTTTCTTACCTCGCCTTTGTTTCTTTCACAAAATACTAAATCTGTGCCCTCTGTTTCTGCGCCCATATTTAAGTGGGAAGAGTCTCTCCCTAACTACCTTGTTCAGACCCCTCATGATTTTGAAAACTTTACCTCCTTGCTTTTGTACACTGCCTCAATTATTGAAGCCCATAATTCGGCATGCTCCATTAACTGCTTTCTCTACCTGTCCTGCCATCTTTGAAGACCAGGTCTCTATGGTCCTGCACACCATTTAGAATTGTACCCTTATCAGCGTTCCTGCTGATTTTATTTTCATCTGCAGCATTGACTTCTAATTGGTGTAGCTTTTGGATCAGCCACGCAGCAAAAAGAAACATTGCCCCTTATTTCATACTGTCTCTCCATGTTCTTTCTAGCAAAATGTATTACCCATGAGAATTTGTGGAATTACATATGTCTGGTGGGAGCAATTTTCCAACAATTTTCTTCACCTTAAACTATTATCTGAGTTTGGGTTTGCTAATATATTGCTATAATATATTGCATAGTTAATCCTCTGAATTGTTAACAATGTCATAACGGACTAAATTATTACATGTGTATGATTTTAAAAGCCCAGTAATAAATTAGAAATAAAAGAGCAATAATTAAAAACATGAAGCTTTTGCTGTGGTAAATTAAAATTAACTCTGGAACTGCAAATCACTTGAGAAAGCAAAACGCCTGTGAATTATTGCTCATACGATATTGATGGGGAGGGTAGATTCAGTCTCCTATTGTATGAGCAAATAAGAAAGATATAAAAACAGTTCTTAATGCAAATCAATGTTTATAATTAGAATTCATTCTTGTTTGCTGTAGTATGTTTAACCTTACTTAGAGTGAATTGAAGAGATAGAAAGAACTTCGGATGCTGGAGTCAGAGATAACACAGTGTAGAGCTGGAGGAACACAGCAGGCCAGAAGGGTCCCAAAACGAAACGTCAACTTTCCTGCTCCTCTGATGCCGCCTGGCCTGCTGTGTTCCTCCAGCTCCACACTGTGTTATGTTACAGTGAATTGAATCTCTTTTTGTATTATTTAAATTATTTGTTCTGGAATGCTTTATTTTTGTTTTGTGTACATTGAATTTAAGCTTATTCAGTTGCTTTAACTTGGAGAATAATGGCTCGTAGTGTGATTAGTTTTACACCCAGCAGAAACAACAGATGTGTAAAGTAGTATCCTGTGTTGTTTTTAAAGTGAATTATTCCAACAGGGAAGGTAATTATTAACGCTCAGCCATGTTGCTCCTACTTATGGTATGTATAAGGTTGGAAATTATAGTTCAGAAGATACACCAGCTCACTATGAATCTTCAGTTTGCTATGAACATGCTCCGGTTTCCTCCCACAGTCCAAAGATGTGCAGGCTAGGTGGATAGGCCATGCTAAATTGCCCGTAGTGTTCAGGGATGTGTAGATTAGGTGAGTTATAAGGGTTGGGTCTGGGTGGAATGCTCTGAGGGTCAGTGTGGACTTGTTGGGCTGAAGGGCCTGTTTCCACAATGTAGGGATGCTATGATTCTATGAAATAAGCTGGGAGAAAAGCCTGAGTGCTGTCAGCTCCTTGGTTCTCCAACAAAAATAAAGTGATGGAACATATCTGTAGAGTTATCTTCTCCTTTTAATAGGCATAAACAGTGCACTGACATCATTGTGAAGATTAAACGGAACTTTATTTGAGCCAGCTCCACCATACTTGAATTTACTTTTATTCCCTTCTGTTAGAGATTAAACAAAAGATGATGAGTGTACAGTACTGTAGAATTATGTAAACTTTACATTGTCATACATGAAATAGTCATATGTGTCATTGTTTCTTTTCTTTGTGCAGTTTACACAGAAGATGTTATTTCATGTATAAAAAGAAGCAGGAGGATAATAATAGTCCTCAGCCCAAATTATATTGCACGGAATGATTCAAGGATTTTTGAACTGCACACAGGAGTCAAAGGCATGCTTGATAATTACAAAACTAAGGTGATTTTGATAAAATTCCGCTCTCTATCTGACATTGTGGATCTTCCCGAAAGTGTAAAGAAAGCCATCACAGTGTTACCGGAGATAACGTGGAAAGGAAAGAAGTCTTTTCCCCCATCTTCAAAGTTCTGGAAGATGCTCAGATACCATATGCCAGTGAAGAAGAATGATATTGTTAAAAATCAGGTTTTCAGCTGAAACTTGCAGCCTAATTGACAAACTTGGACCTCACCGCAGTGTACAAAAACTGAAAGCACTGCGGATGCTGGAAATCAGAAACAAAAATGGAACTTGCTGGAAAAACTCAGCAGGTCTGGCAGCATCTGTGGAGAGAAATCAGAGTTAACATGTTAGGTCGAGTGACCCAACTGAAGTTTTTGCCTCACTGTATGCCTTCTGTATTTCTATTTAATTGTATTATTGTATTTTATTGTATTGTATTGTATATCTTGTCAAATGCATATGGAATACACAAACTCAGTCTTGTTCTTATTGCATTAAACATCACAATGTCATTTATGGCTCAATAAAGGGTCTGATAGTGTGATAGTTATGTTACTGGCATAGTACTTCAGAGGGCTGGACTTGATCTGGTGGTTTTCAATTCAGATCTGACCATCGATGCCATGCTAAAAATCTAGCATGAAAAACTATTATCTGTAACCATGAACCTGGATTGTATTAAACCTTAATGTCCTTTAAGGAAGGAGATCAGTTGTCTTCAACTGGACTATTTATGACGCCACATTCACAGCAATTTGATTCACCTTTGATTGCCTTCTGAAGTAGGCATTCAGTTGTCTTCAAGAAGGCAGTTCAGCACCACCTTCTCAAGGCCAGTTAGAAGTGAGCTAGAAATGCAGGCCTAGCCAGCAACACCCATGAGGGAGAGTTTACAAATTCGGTAGTGTTTGTGCTCCTGAGTCTAAAGATTGTGGGTTCAGGTTGCACTCCAGACACCTGAGGACCAAACTGTAGCTAGGTTGACACTCCAGTTTAGTTGCTGAGGGAGTTCTACACTGTCAGATGTGCTGACTTTTGGATCACATGATAAATTGAAACCTTGTTTGCTCAGTCAGATGTACCTAAATACCCCATAAGGCTCTTTCAAAGAAAAGCCAGGGAGTTATCCCAGTTTTCCTAGTCAATGTTTCTCTTTCAATTGAAATCATTAAAACAGGTTGTATGTTCAATATCACATTGCTGTGTCTCCTGTATTTGAAAGGTGCAGTTCAATGCTGTAAAGTGTATTGGGGTGTCTTGACGTCGTGAATGGTGCTACATTGTTTCAAGACTTTCTGTTTATAGTTTGAGATGCTGTGGCGACTTTACATTAGAATAAGTTAAAATGATTTCTGTATAGTATTGTTGTATTCCTGTATTCATTCTAAAGTTCCTGTTGTGATATTTTGATTATGTTCTGTTTTTGATGATTTTTTCTTAAAGCACAAAGCAACTTGATAAAATAATATTGTACAAAGTAAGTAACTTGACCATTAAAAGGGCATGGTCTCAGTTGATTACTTTTTTCCATTCTTGTGAGATAGGAAATGAGACGGAAACAAATAAATTACTTTGGTTAACTTATATGTTCACTGATGTCTACACATTGAAGCAGATTAAAAATCTGTATCTGGCCCCATCTCACCAAATGTTTTAGTCCAAATTTGAGAAGTTGGAATAAGGACATAGAAAGATGTGAAAAACTCAAGGCTGAATCTTATGTTTTTTAGCTGAGTCGAGTTTTTTGAAGGGATTGTTAAGGCAGTTCTCTCACCAAACTTGCTGTATTAATTGCCTACCAGCCCTTATGGCATCTCTCACATTTCAGTTCTGTCCCATCTTAACAAGCGCACTTCCTAGAATAACTCACCAGATATCCACCCAAAGACTGGTGTACATTGCACCCATGCCATCTTTGAAAGGCCACCATGCACCCAGACGAGTAGTAGCAAACTAACATTTACCATCACTGGTGACGTCATGGCGTATCAGCCCCAAAGCCATATAACTAGCCTTTACTTTAGTGCTGCCCTGACACTATTGATCTATGCAGGGCCACGTCTTGCCATTGTCCAGTAGGGGATTAGCAAATACAGATAAACAATCAGACAAATACAAAGACAATATCATGAGCTTTTATTTACATGTGGGAACAAAAACAAAGCCAACAGAAGTCCTATAACCAAATTTAGAAATCATGAACAAAAAAATGGAACAGTTAACAACTGTCAGCTGCACCCAACTCTCTTCTATTGGAAGCAGGTGCCAATGAGGTTCTGTATGGCGTTTAGTGTCCAATGCAGTTGAGATCTGTAATGAACAATATCAGCTTCCTCCTCCCCAGTGTCTTGGTCCCCTTACGGGAAGATTTCTCCCATTCACCCAGTTCTTCAGCATCCAGGACATTGCCTCATGCATTGCCAACTCCAGTCGTGCAGAGCACAGCACACCAGGATGATGCGGCACACTCTGTCAGGAATATACTGGAGGGTCACCTACCCCAGACTGATCCAAGCAGTGGGACTGCACCTTCAACTGACCTATACTTTGCTCCACCATGGTTCTGTTTGAGGCATGAACAGTATTAGGCATGTGCTCCCCATCAGTCAGCAGTTAGCCCAATGGTGTCATGAGCCGTTATCACAGTGGATAGCCCATGTTCCCCTGTAACTAACCTTATAAGATTCCTGGTCCCTTAAATGCACCAGGTACGTGAGAGAGTTCCAGGATGTAGGAATCATGGGAGGTGCCAGGGTAGTGCACACACATCTTCCAGAAGTGGTAACAGTGATTATCTGAATATTAATTAAGTGCAACCTTGCCCTGTTGATGAATTCTGCAACATTTTGATATGGCCCTCTCAGTGTCACATGCATGCACCCTTCATCTGGTGGAGCCCAGCTATATTCTTGAATCCAACCATCCTTGTCTAGGAGCAGCAGAATGAACTGATGTGGCCTCACACAAATGGCTTCAGTTACTGTCCTGATGCACTTGTGCCTACAAGGTTCACAGATCCCAAGCACATCACCCATCACTCCCTGGGAGGAGCCAATCACACAGAACTTCAGTGCTGCAGTGACATTCACAGCCACTGGGAGATGATGACCTCCCACGTCTGCACCTCTCAGATCCCACTCCAGCAACTGGCACAATGCCATCCCAACCTACTGGGACATATGGACCGTGCTTCGTCACTGTGCCTTGCTGATGGACAGGAGATGGAGCCAAGGCTAGATACTATATACAGGTGTTGGTTAGCTCAGTTGGCTGGCTTGTGGTGCAGAGGGATGACAGCATGGGTTCAATTCCCACACCAACTGAGGTTATCATGAATGACTCACCTTCTCAAACTCTCCCCTCGTTTGAGGCATGGTAACCCTTAGGCTAAATCACTACCACTCGTCTCTCTGATAAGAGACCAGGTCTGATGAGAGACCACTCTGTGACCACTAAATACCTGGAAACTGTATGCATAAGAAACAGGCAATGCAATAATTGCAAATCCAATGTAGTGGCAACTTGCAAAGAGCAGCTGCATGCTTTGGTGGTTATACTATACTATTGTCCAACAAACATGCTCCTGTACTTTCAGTCATCAACCTGACATTTACCCAGCCCACCCTGGGCTGAGTTCCAGCCATTTTCTAGTCATACTTTGCCTCCAGAGAAAGGTAAGTGGTAGCTGGAAACACAGATCATGCTGCATATCATTGGCATCAGGCCCAGCCTCAATGTCACATATTACCTTACATTACCTCCAATGAACCAGAGCTACCACATTGAACTTCGCCTACCATTATACTCCCTGAGTCTCAACATTATACCTTGATGATGCCCACCCTGCTGCATTACACTACACTCAGTTGTGGTCTCAGTCAATTACCCCTCCCCATAGTCTACCATGCCTTTGATGCTGTTTCTAGTTCCTCCCCATTCAATTTGAGATTCTCCCCCATCACCATTCTTATCCCCACACCTATAAATGCCTCTGCTTTCCCCGCCCAGTCTTGACAGACCCAACCCTTCTGTTATTGGTGCTCACAGCCCCAAACAGACTCATCCCCAACTCTTTAGCAATATCAATGGATGGTCACCCAGGACTGTAATCACCCCTGACCTGTGACCAATTCTGATGATTAGTCCCTAGACATGACTGAGCAGAGCCCTGGCTGCTGTGTTCTGTGCCCAGATTAGAGATACATGATTTCCCTAACTGCTTGGGCTAGTCCCACAGGACTGACCACTGAACTCACCCACCCACCCTGAAATGAACTGGGACAGATCCCTGGACCTTGAGGGTCCCAAACAGATGACTGACCAGGATGGATTTAAAGGACTGTGTGCAATTTGTGCCTGTGACTGATGGTACGGCACCCCATGACAGACAGCAAAGCCCCCTTTGACTTGACAGAGAACTAGCCTCCAACAGGTTCTGCCATGTCCATTGGGTTTATGTTGCTGTCTCTGTGTGTTATATAGCAAGATGGTGCAACCAATACATACCAATTGTGGCAAGTGAAATAATCCACAGAGGCCAGTTTCCCATCATGAAGTCACCTTTTATTTATATGTGCATAGAACTTGATGCTGATCCAGTTTGCTGAGAACTAGCTCTCAGAATGAACAGAACTCTGACACTCCTATTTATATCTGTCAGCCAGGGCTCCCTGATTAGACCAGATAATATCCCCAAGTCAGAACTCATATTCTATGAAGTCTGACCTCATTATAGTCACTATATCCCTCCCCCATCTAAGTGTGAGATGTAGGCCTGTTCATTTTCTTGTAGCCTTTTCTGGGGCATTTTTGCACAGGGTCCAGTTCCAATGAATCAGCCTTGGACACGGGCGGCAGTACAAGACCATAGCTTGCCTCTTGTGTCCGGAGCTTCTAGAAATAAATTCCTCCTCTTCTTCAGGTGATAAAGGCATCAAAGCTGTGATATTCTCCGTATTCATCTCAGACTCTGAGGTTTCTTCGACAGTAGACAGAAAAGGAGAACATATGCATTCTGACAGCCTTTCTGGCTGTTCTGAGGGGCTGAGTATGTTTTGTCTCTGCTCTATTTGTGAGTTTGCAGCTTCCATATTGTTCAGGACCACCTCACCTACCTGAACTTTGTATGTCATGGGACCTGATTTTGTGTCATCCATGCCTCTTACCCATGCAGGGCTATTTCTGTGGATTGGCACCAAACTTCATCATCCAGCGTGCCTCTCTCACTTAGAGGAGTCTTGTATCCGGCACTGAATTTCCTGATGCTGTTTCATTCTTCCTCCCAAGTCCAGGAAGCTTAGATTTAATTTGGTGCAGAGTCTTCTCCCCAACAACAGCACTGCTGAAGCTATGCCTGCAGTTGCATGAGGGGTGGTCAGTAATTGAATAGGAACCGGGACAGTTTGGTATTGAGTGAAGCTGTAGGCTGTTTCTTTAAGCCTACTTACAAAGTGATGGCCCTTAAGACCGGATATTTTTGCCTCCACAGTCTGATACTGTCAGCGGTGACCAGAAAGTTTAAAATCAGAACAGGCTCTTCTGGTGACGGCACCACTGATGTTGTATCTGCCAGTGGGAAGCAGCTCAAGGCATCCGCATTTGCTCCTTAGCTTCCCAGAAGGTGCTCCACCTTGTAATTGTATGCACTTAGAATGAGAGCCCATCACTGTTTTCAACCTGAAGCTATGGGTGGCATGGCCTTGTCCTCTTTGAGAAACGTAGCAGGGGTTTGTGGTCTGTTACTATTGCAAATTTATGTCTGTAAACATGTTGGTGGAACTTTCTCACACCAAAGCTGACCGCCAAACCTTCCTTCTCTATCTGGGCACACTTGTGCTCTACATCAGCCAATATCCAGGAATCATACCCTCTCGGACGTTCCTCTCCATTGGGCCATCTATGAGCCAACACTACCCTGATGCTGTACGGAGACCATCGCATGTCAGCACCAGATCTCACTTGGGATCATAGTGTGCCAACATCAAGACAAGGCTGTGTCTTGGTTATAAGACCATTTCTAAGGCTGACATTTTTTCAATAGTAGATGGAAGGATGCCAGGTTAGAGGCCAGGTTACATATCAAATTTCTGTAATAATTCACCAACCCAAGGAAGGTCAGGCCCCTCCACTAGCTTTGCGTACAAGTGAGGGATTGGGTATTTATCCAGCTGTGAGACGCAGTTTACCTTTTGTTTAAAATCCCCACAAGGACGAACCGCGCATCAGGCTTCACAATCAGTAGGACCGGTGCTGCCCATTCCACAAACTGTACTGGTTTGATAATTACTTCACTTTCCAGCCTTCTGATTTCTGCCCCTACTTTTGACATAAGGCAAATGGCAATGGGTGGGCCTTGCAGAATTGTGGAATTGCTCCCTGGTCAAAACGCAATCGAAAGATGTTGACGCAATCAAAGTGAATCTTTCCCAACCAATTTGATGCCATCAGGCTTGGGCCTGAGCATATTACTAAAATCAGTGGTAACTAAAACAGTTGCTTCTCATATGAGACAACAAGGTGCAGGGCTGGATGAACACAGCAGGCCAAGCAGCATCATAGGAGCAGAGAGGCTGACGTTTCGGGCC